TAACTGAACTATATAAATGCAAACCCCTTGACAGTAAAATACAGTACTGAAGTTAGGGAAAATCTGGCAACTGTTTAGCTAATTTAACACGAAAGTCATCATTTTACTTCTGATGGAGGAAGCTGAGTATCACTGAAGGGCAATTTCAAAATGCTGTTGAACAGCTTGACCAGTAATATCCCATTAAGTGTACCAAGAACCTTAAATCTATTATGTCCCTCCCACTCCCTGAGACTGGGCAAAACTGGGGGTAATCATGGTTCCTCCCAAGGCAGTCTCAAGTTGCAGAGTGGAAAGGTACATGTCACCTAACACTGGGGATGATGTGTAACTGTTTTTCTTCCATTTATCTGTTTCACGCAGAGGAAATAACAGGATTGTGTCATGAGCTTGCATGTAAGAAAGAAGTACAACTGTTTAGGTAAGAAAAGCAGTGTGGTCAAACCAAAGAGGTGGTTTTGAATCTAAACCTTGAATGGGGCCCTCCCTAGTGGTACAACGGGTTAAAGCACAGCACTATGAAGCTATCTGCAGCTGCTACAGCATGGGTTCGATCCCCAGCCAGGGAGGTGACCTACATGATGTGGCAGACCTCTGTTGTTCTGCTGGCTGCTTCCCTCAGCAGTATATTTCAGTCAGTCTGCCTATTCTGTTCCCCGCTGTCTCTGGTAAATCCTCTCAGCTCCCCACACCTCTGGCCTGTACCCCAGTTCTTGTATGCATAAATAAATCTTTAAGAAAAAAACAAACAAAAAAAAACCTTGAATGCACACACAGAGCTTCCTTAAGAGTCACAATAAACCAGAAAACTATTGTTACATGTGCAAACTGGCCAAGGAAAGCAGAGGAACAAATGGACACTCGGTAACCAGAATCGGGAGACAGGTTCCAGGAAGGAGGCAGAGGTCACAAACCAGGTTTGAAGCAGGAGCTGAAAACACTGAGGCACTGAGATGGCGGTGAAAGTCCAATGACTGTGGGACAAAGGTGGCAATGAAAAGCAGAGAACAAAGGACACTTTTAGAGTTCTAGTGCGGGGTCACCTGCTGGTCCTTGAAGGCAGAGCTGACACCACTCCACACCTGTATGAGGCACCTGCCTAACCTGCACAAACAGGGCTAATGAGAACTTGTTAATTCTCACTGTCCTGCTGTCTTAAGCATTAACGAGGACAATCCAGCTGTGACTTGCCCCAAGTGGCTGAGACCCTAAGTGAGGCTTCTCCTGCTGACTCAACAGGTCTTGTTTGAAGGCTCCTATAGGGTCCAATGACACACTTGACTGAGGCCAGTCTAGAGAAATGGTGACAAAGAGACAACCAGTGGTGACGGGGAGGCACAGGAGCACCAGGTGCGTACAGCTTTGAATCACTTAAATTACAACAAAAACGTAATGCTGAAACATAATTTTCACAAACAGTTCAGGATAAAAATTTTCTTAAGAATTTGGATATAACCAGCTGTAAACTATAAAATCAATATAAAAGGGCAGCTTTAAGATAATAACACATATCTGAACACACACTGAGAATAAGATCATATAAAATGAAACATTTTAAAAAAGATTATATTGGAGATTGATCTTAACTTCTGTTGGGTGCGGTTAAGAAAGCATTTCTTTGTTATCAGAGCCACACAATACATTTAGGGCAGAAATGACTCAGGTCTGGGATTTGCTTTAAAATACTCCAGTGGTCCATGCCTAAAACAAACCAACAAACAGAAAGGCGAGCAGGGAAAAGAATTGAGTTTTAAAGACTGGCAAACTGTAGAGAACTGTAAACATGGCAATGGATTGCTTCATGGAGCGTTCTTAATCATTTTCCCAAGTTTGAAAGCATCATAATAAAAAGTTAAAAACAAAACAAAACAGGGAGTACAGGGACAGTGACACCCCCCTTTTCCAGCCAGAGAATCCCCAAGTGCCTCCCATTCATTATGTTTTACCTTCCTTAATTCAATTCAGTAAAAATACTTTTCTAGGATAGGTATTTTTTTTAAGTCAGTGAAAACACTCTGCATAATGTATAATGGTAGACACAAATAGATTTGTCCAAAACCTTAGAATGCACAAGACTGAACAAACCTCAGTTGTACAAACCATGGCCTTTGGGAGACAATAATATAAATGAGTGATTTTGTAAGTTATAAGAAGAAATACACATAAAAGACTGCCCGGGTTCCTGACACAGGACTGCTGAGACCCCTGAAAATTCTGGGTGATAGCAATGTTTTCGTTCTAATGAGGTGCCTTGGCTCCTGAGTGGGGGGTGGTCACCAGAAAGACTTGAGTCAGTAATAAAGCTTGGATTTTTCAGCTTTGTTCTTCCTCTTCCCATTCTTTTGAGAAGGGAGATGGAAGCTAGTGATTGGATCATATGTGATGAAGTGTCCACAATTTCCAAAACTACGGATTTTAGCTTCTGAACTGATGAACACGTGAAGGTGCTGACACGCCTGGAAACCCTATGATAGTTCGGAGCCCCCTTCCATACCTTGTCCTACGCATCTCTCCCAGTTAGATGTTCATCTGTACCTGTTATCATATCATTTTATGAACCAGTAAATGTAACTGTTTCCCTGAGTTCTGTGAGCTCTCAAAAATTAACTGAACTCGAGGAGGGGGTGAGGGAACCTCCAAACTGTCTGGTTGGAGAGAAATGCACACGTCATAGTCTGGGTTTATGGCTGGCATGCAAAATGTGTGTGGGAAAGAGTCTTATGGAACTGACTTCTTAACCTGTGGCACCTGTCTCTGGGTAAGTAGTATCAGAATTAAGTTAAATTGTAGACTACGCAGCTGGTATAGCAGAGAACTGCTTGGAATAAGGAAAAACCACACATTTGGTGACCTCAGTGCCAGAAATGAAATGTTTTTTTTTTTGTAAAAGCAGATACACAGGAAGAAACCTACAGTAGGGAGGAACTGAAATTTTCCCTAGACAGAGAATGGAAAAAACTAAGGTTTTTCCCTTTCCATATTATCGCCGTGGGTTTAGCATTTGTAAAAAATATACTCTTCAGTGGGGATGTTGATAGTCTGGAGGCTGTGCACAGGGGAAGTCAAGGGGTATATCGGGAAATCTCTATGCCGCCTTCTTTTACTATGACCCTAAGATAGCTTTAAAAGATAAAGGTTTGTGCCCTCCCTGGCGGTGCAATGGGTTAGGATGCAGCACTACAAGCAAGCCGCAGCCACTTCAGTGCAAGTTCTATCTCCAGCCCCCCGGAGGTGACCCACATGGTGCAGCAGACCTCTCTCGTGTCACCTACTGCTCCCCTCAGCAGTGTATTTCATTCAGTCAATCTGCCTGTTCTGCTCCCCACTCTGTCTCTGGTGAATCCTTTCACCGCCCCTGCACCTCTCGCTTGTACCCCCAATTCTGTATACATAAATAAACAAATCTTTAAAAAAAAGATAAAGACAATTTAGAAAAAGACAAAAACAATATTGTTAATACAAATACTAAGACTAATAACAGCAGTAATAAATCTAGGAGTTGGGAAAAAACTTTTCAATGAAAATTATCATCATTTATGCATCACTGCTATCATGCCCCATTAAAAAAAACTTCATAAAACTTCCGTAGTGGCAACCAGAAGGGTTTCAGTTCCACTTTTCAGAGCTCTGTAGCCACAAAGTCAGCATGCTTCTCCCATGACAATCCATGCAGATCCCTGCTACCTTATGAAAAATTTCTTTCTCTAAAATCAAATGTAACTTAAGATTTCATTGGTTCCACAAAAAGATTATGCTTATGCTAGGGAAATTTTGTACAAAGGGACAGGCAGGAAGAAGACAACAATCTGCCTTTGAGGTGAGGTTAATTCTAGCGATAACCTAACCCACTTGTTAGAGACCAGGGAGAGAGAGCCAAGGTCTCCTCAAAGGGAAATCAGTTCTCAGCCTGCTTAGGGAGAGAAGTGACATCCAGGTTGCCATGAAAATAGGAGAGGATCAGCTAGATGTCCTCCATTACTCTTTATTAATGAGGTTCAGACCAAGAGGTGGTATTCCTGAAGAAAAAGGGCTGGTAGTTCCTGCAGCCACAGAAGTTTCCAGTTTAAAATGTTACTGACACTTTAGGGTAGAATTTATTCACAAGGTCCCAAGGGAAGCTAACTGCCTTTTGATGGTAAGACCCTACAATTCCTGAATAAGGAAGCCAAATCAACAGTGATGATAAACAAACTCTGCTGAGTCCCCCTCTGTGCCAGGCACTGAACATTCTGTACGACTGAGATTTCCATTAAATTACCCACAGCCCTAAAAGCGAGGCTGAGTAACTTAGGTGTATCCAGCTTTTAACACCTGCACTGGGGCAGCTGTCTGACCTGAAAATCAACACTGGTTATCAAATCCACAAATATTCACTGGATAAATGCCATGAAGAAATACTGCCATTAGGCATACCCGATGGCAAACAAGAGCACAGAGAAGTTCTAAGAAGGAAGCACCTTTTAGGTAACACAGTGAAATCAGAAAGAAGCCTTTGCAGAATTTACGTTCAAATACAGAAGAAAAACATGAGTGTAATGCTTTAAAAGTTCATTTATACAAAATTACATGAGATGATTTTAAGGTGTTCTTGGGGTAGTGGGATGGAGGGGCGTGCCTGGGTCACTCTTTCCATGCGTTTTCTTTCTTCAACATCTCCATCAGCAGCAGGTTTGGAGAGCTCCTGGCAGTGGTGCGAGTGTATTTTCATATCCTAACGGGGTTCATCACGCAGTTGGTGCAGGAACGAAGGTCTCAAGTGTGCTGCACATCAAGCAAGAGGGGAAGACCCCTCTGAGGAAGGCGGCTCCTGTTGGGTCTGGCTGATGGTTGAGGTGGGGCTACCACATAGGACTCGAGTTGGTCGGGGCTCCCAGTCGCTGCTCTGCCTTCCACAAGGCTTGTCAGGAAGCCTGGGACGCACTTACCTGCGACCATCAGCCCACAGTGGGCCACTACACCAAAGATGAACACGTGAAGATGCCCACTCCTCCAAGCCTTACCTTGTGTACACTTTTTGGGTTTTCCAACCAGGCATAGTACATTTCCTCCACATAGTTTGAACTAGTTCCACTGAGGAAGGGCTCTGCAGCAACGGGGGCAGAATAGCACCGAATCTGCCGAAACGTCCTAGCTGCTGCTGGTCTGTTTTGCGAAAATGTCTTAACAGTCTGGGAAGCCGTCAACGGCCTCAACTTAACAGCACAAGTCCTTAAGTGAAACATACTGGAGTTCTGAAGTTTCTCACAACAGCCTGTACAAAAAAAGAAAGAAAAGTTAAAGCATTTAAAGTTAAAATTACGGGCCCTCCCTGGTGGTGCAATGGATTAGGATCAGCACTGCACGCTAGCGCAGCCACTTCAGTGTGAGTTCCTTCCCCAGCTCTGTCTCTGGTGAATCCTCTCGCCGCCCCTGCACCTCTGGCCTCTACCCCAGTTCTGTATACATAAATAAATAAATCAATCTTAAAAAAATAAAATAAAGTTAAACGTTAAAGCATTTTAGGAGATAAGACAGAGGACATGAAGAATGGAGGCAAGTCAACCCAAGCCGGTTCACCATTACTTAGGGAAGCAGGACAGTGCTGCTAAAGAAAGCATGGTTTAAGTGAAATATAGTTTGAAGGATAAAATATGACATTATCGGATAGGTGTTTATAGTTTATACAGTATAAAACAAGGATAATAAGGACTAGAATTAACTGCAAATGAGAAAGATATTTCCTAACCGATCCAGAAATCCCTGAGCGCGTGATGTACGCAAAGTATTCTGGACTCAGTCCTTTCAGGTGAGAGGGAGTTGAAAGCCAAGCAAAGTTTTGGGAAGGGAGGCTTTCAGATTGGTTCTTTGAAGACAGGAAGGGTTCAGTGGTGATGGGGAGAGGTTAGAGAAGGCATAAAGAATACAAGAATCAGGAGGAGAAAAGATAGGTGGAAAAGTGTGAAGAAACACGTGGGAAGAACAAGAAACATTTGGTACTAGACAGGAAGAGGAAGGGCCCTGCTCACCACATATGGAGTGTGGCCCCTTTCATAAACACTACACTATGGAGCCAGAGGAGGTTTTAAAGAGCTTAAAAAGGAATGTGCATATAGCAATCATGGGGGGGGGGGGTTATTTGCTCTGTATAGCTCTACTGTCAGCAACTTGTTAAGACTTTTTATGAGCTCCACAAATTCCCTAGCAGGAAGAGGTTCTTTTGTTCCACAGACGGCCCTTCTGTTTCAGTTTTAAGTGTTTCATGGTCACAGGGCCATTAATAGCACAGCCAGGATCTGAGAAGTCTTTCTGACAACAAAGTTCCTGTTTTACCTACCAGGAGCTGCCTGGCTCTTGGGCAACAGCATCTGAGGTTGGATAGGGAGGGAAAGGTCAGGGCAAGAGGGACAGACAGACTGGACTAAGGAGGAGAAGGAGTGGGGGAGGGTACAGGAAGAAGAGGAAGGAGGGAGGGGGTTGGGCTCTATTTACTTCTGTTTTGAGTGGAGCTTATACTTGATGATCTTGAATTCATGAAATATAATCTATGGCTATCAAAAGGACCTTTTATAAAAGAAAGCGATGTGCCAGTCAGAAATGAAAGAATTTAAATGTTTGCAGAGGATCTTAAATTCCAAAAACTTCCAAGAATCCAGCATGTCCTTGGGCTGTCAGGAGAGGACAAAGATATTACAGGTTCTTTTCCTTAAAGAATCCCAGCTGTGGGCCTCCCTAGTGGCCTAGGGGTTAAATCTCAGTGCTATCACCACTGTGGCCTGAGTTCAATCTCTGGCGGGGGAGCTGACCCACAAGGCGCAGCAGACCTCTCCTGTCTCGCCTGTTTCTCCACTCAGTAGTATATTTCACTAAAACCACCTGCTCTGCTTCCCACTCTGCCTCTGGTGAATCCTCTCACTCCCACACCTCTGGCTTACATCCCAGTTCTACCCCCTGTCCCCCCAAAATCCCAGTTGTTTCAGAGGACTTTTATGTCACAGAAAAGGGGTCCTAAGGGACCCTTAGGGCTCATAGCAGCCTTCTACCCAGGATAGCGTGTTTTATGTTCTAAGACATGCTTACTCATGAGTTTGCCTCAAAGCAAGTGCCCTATTTGTGAAGGTGGAACTACCTTTACCTCCACACCTACCTGAAGCTGTGAATTAACCAAAAACAGTGCATATAATACCCTCTATACCTTTTTATAAGACCCCTTTCCTCTTGCCAAACAAAATCAGAATGAGTACAAAGACACAAAGGAAAGGCCGGAGGGTATTGCCCGCTCTGCTGCTGGGAAAGACAGGCAGCAAAGGGAAAAGCAGAAGAGATGCTATAAAAACAAGCTAACGGACAAACAACTGCACCTTAAAAATGAACACAAAGTACCTTCTGCATACAGTTAAAGAATACAATCTTAATTAATCCTTGTATTTTTTTGTATTAAAAATAATCTATTACTATATTCAACTACACTCCAATTTTCCCCACTAATAAATTTAAGGCAAAGTCAAAGAGGTTGAGGACAAAAATAACTACTACTGTAAATTTCAGTTGCTGCTTTCAGTGTTAATTTCTAACATTATCCAGTTTCAAAGGAAATATTCATCTCTCCCCCTCCCCCAGTCATTATTATCTATGTAAGATGAAACATTCTATCAATTCTTGAGTGAGGTTTTTCTCCTATAATAAATTATTATTAATTCCATTAAATTGTCTGTTATTAATCAGCTGCTACAATAACCTTTTAAAAGGAAAACAAGTCCCAAATTGGAGTTGCTATGCTAAACCTACCAACACTTAATACCTAACCTAACTGCAGCTTCAACCTCCTCCAAGAATGTAGTCTTAACTGGCCAGTATGGAATTTCCTGGTCAGCACCACTGAAGTAATTTTTTCCATTACCCAAAGAAGATGAGATAATCTGTCACAAGACCTTTTTCATTTCCCATGGCAGGTCACCTAAGCCTGAAATAATTCCCTCCCCCTTCTCTTGCCCTCTTTCTGCCTATATGAAAATCTTTCACATTGTACAGCATTTTAGAGCACTTTCCTACATGCTAGATGGGATGCTGTTTTATTTATGAATTATTTAATAAAGCCAAATAGATTTTAAAAATTAACTCCATTGGATTTTGTTATTTAACAAACCCAATCAACAGAAGCTACACTGAAAGTCACAAAACTGCTCATTTTATCTGTTTTTTCAAAGTTGTCTTCCCAACTTTGGAAATTATGCTACAAGTAAATCATGTTATCTAGCTACCTACAGTCATTAAATTTGACATATAATTTAGTGCTGCCCAGTACTCCTACCAAGATAGGTCAGCAATTTTCAAACTTCCCTTAAGATGACTCATCAAAAAAGTTGTCCTTCAACAGAAGGTTCAACATGCCCCAGCCTCCACCCTGCATGGCCTGAACAGCTGTTCTCTGTTCATGATTTGAAAGAACCACAGGACAGACACTAAGTTTACATTTCAGATTTGGGTAGTTAGTTCTGATTTCTGGTTAAGAAGAAAACTTCTATTTGACAAGGAGTCAAAAAACCTTAAATAGTGAAAAAGTAGCCCGGTAATGGGGCAACGGGAGTTCCATATGTAAAAGAATGAAATTACCTCACACTTCTATGAAATTAATCCAAAATGGACTGACAACCTAAATGTAAGACTGAATGCTTACAAGTTTTGTACTTCCAAGTTTTAATTGAGTAAATCATTAACTCAGGTAGTGGATTCTTAGGACACCAAACATACAAGCAAGAAAAAAATTGGACTTCATCAAAATAAAAACTTTTGTGCTTCAAAGGACACCAGCAAGAAAAAGAGAAAAACAAAGGAAATATCTGCAAGTCCTCCAATTGATAAGGGACTTTTATACAGAACATACAAGAGCTCTTATAACTCAACAACTAAGAGAAAAATAACTCAATCAAAAAATAGGCAAAAGATAAGGAAAGATATTTTGTCAAATATATACAAATGACCAATAGCATGTTTTTTAAAAATGCCAACAAAAACTCTTAAGATACCACTTCATGCCCACTTGACTAGATACAATCCAAAAGAAGGTAACAAATGTTGGTGAAAACATGAAGAAACCCTCATACAATTCTGGTTGGAATATAATAAGCTTGTACAGCCACTTAGGAACAGTCTGGCAATTCCTCAAAAAGTTAAACATAGATCTTAGAGTCTGTGGAGTCCTACTGGGAATAGGCTTCTGAAATAATGGCTGGAAGGTTAAGGTCCAAGTTCATTTTTGCTGGCTATAAGAAGGATCTTTGAAACCAGAGAGAATATATGGCTCTTCTTAAAACTGAAGATATTTATGCTTGAAATGAAACTGAATTCTATCTAGGGAAGAGATATATTTATACATACAAAGAAGACAACACAATTAATAAAACTAGAATAACTTGGGGAAAGGTAATGCATATCCATGGAAACTGGCATGATTTGAGCCAAATTCCAAAGCAAGTTTCCTGCTAAGGTCACAGGACAGACTCTGTAATGCTGTGCCTCTCAGGGATCGAAATTTATTGAAAAGCTAGTAAGTAAAAATGAATTTGTACTTTTGTTAGGAAAAAAAGTTAAACAGAGGGCCACACAACTTAGCAATCTTACCCCAGTTACAAAGCCATTAGAAATAAAAACATGTCCACACAAAAATATGTACATAAAAGTTCACAGCAGCATATTTACACCAGCTATAAAGTGGAAACAGGGGCCCTCCCTGGTGTCTGAACAGGTTAAAGCGCAGCACTATGAAGCTATCCACAGCCGCTGCAGCACGAGTTCAAATCTAAGCCAGAGAGGTGATCCACATGACACAGCAGACCTCTCCTGACTCACCCTGCTCCCCTCAGCAGTGTATTTCAGTCTATGGTGAATCCTCTCACTGTCCCCCATCCCTGCACCTCTGGCCTGTACCCTAGTTCTTGTACATACATAAATCTTTAAATCAAAAAATAAATCCGAAACAACTCAAATGTCTGTTAAGTATGGGTATATATGAATCTATATGATGTGTTACAGTCATATAATAAACAATAATATTAGACAATAAAAAGGAATGAAATAGGTAAGGTCGTTCACAAAAACAATGTTATGATTTCATTTATATGAAATGTTCAGAACAGCCAAATCTATGTACATAAACTACGTTTATGATGCCTAGGGCTGAAGGCAGAGGGATGAGGAGATTACTAATGAGTACAGGGGTTCTCTGCAGGGGGGATGAAAAAGCTCTAAAACTATGTTGGTTTTATGCACAAGTAC